AATTAATTAAAATAAAAGAGCTATTCATTCATTAAAAGCCAAATTAGTTTTTTGTTTTTTTTTTAAAAAGCAACACTGAGCAGCAAGAAGGATGGCTAGCAGGAGGTTGATCGGCGAAAGCTATTGGCAGAAGCAGGGCACTCATTAAGGCGGTGGAACCAGTAATCTCAAGAAAGCAGCAGTTTTACCTGAGCTGTTTTGGTCTCTCTTCTCAAGTGAATATCTGTGGCCACTTGCAATTATTTCCTTTATTTACAAGTTTCTCTCCTCTTTTCCCCCTTAGTCCCTCACATGTCCTTTAAAAGTCAGTGACTATTGAGTATTAAGTGTCTTCAGTACCAACTGGTTTTGATCACATATCAGTCAAGTTACTAGGGAGGGATACAGAGTAACAGCTTATTACCCTGCAGGATGATAACCTCCTATAACATTGTTGAAATGCGGGGGGTGGGGTGGGGTTGTGTGTTTGTGTGTGTGTGTGTGTGTGTGTGTGTGATGAGGGTCTTCCCCAAGCTAAATTAATCAGCCACCGCATTGCTTGAATAGTGGCCCAGATTATGTCTACACTGTGGGCATGATCTATGTGTCCGGGACTAATTCTCGGCCCAGTTCTGATGTCAGCCAGATGTGTGACCTCTTTAATTTCACGGGGCCAGGCCTCTTTCAGGAAGGAGAAAGGACATTAATACAGTGATGAGGAGAAAGGCAGCGTGATCTAATTGTTATGTGACTTTGTGTTACTGAACTCTGCACTCCCCCAAAACCAAGTTAGAGAGCACCATAAACCCAGACAGGTTTCTCGTAGGTTTATTGCCATCTTTAGGAGCAGGGAACACTCGCTGTGGTCATAAGGAGGGATTGTTACAAGATAAACTGGTCAGGAGAACAAAGGTGGCTTATTTGATGGAAACTGCAACAAAGGAGCAGTTATGAGACAGGTGTTGGCGTGTCCTCTGTCCTGACTCCACTGGTAACATTCCCATGGCGTGCTTTCTTAAAAATCATAAGCTGGTGCTTTTAACCAAATCAATTTGTTTTACATTTGCAGACCTGTTACTATGCAGGCTTTTGGGAAAGGCGTCCCACATGCTTAACACATCTATATAACACTCAGAAAAATGACTCATGAGTGCCGCTGCCATAGAAAAGTTGCTAAAACCGCATTAGCATTGAGACAAGCAATGGCGGCTTGAAGCAGGATCACTTACTTTTTATTTGTTACAATTCTGTGGCAGTTGGCCAAGATATTTTTAACGGGGAATTCTAGGATTTGCCAGAATTTAAAAAAAAAAAAAATCTGGGTTTTTTTTTTTTTTTTAATCATTTCACAGAGATGATAAATAGCTGTGAAGACAGCAGGGAACTAGACTAACCAAATGAAGGAATGACTGGGAGCTGGCTTACCCCAGATCTGGTGCCCCAAATCCCAGGTTGCTGACTTACTAACAGGCCCCCACTCCCCACACATGTGGGAGCTGCCCCAGAATGACCTAGCCCCATGCTTGTCCCCACACTGGGACTGATTTCTGGGGTTGTTCATGGTTCTCAGAGCTCTACCTGTAGGGCTCTGTGTGAGCTTCCTGCTCTTTGGTGCTTTAAGCAAAGGAGTTCCGTTTGGAGGACAGTGTCACACATCAAGCCTTCAGAATGCCTCTATGATGTTCTAAACTAATCCCAAGTACATTCTCCATAAAAATATAAAGTTTGTTCTGGAGATGAAACAAAAACACTTGCTAGTGGTGAATCTGCACATAAGAGAAATGTCCACTGGGGTCTGGCCGTCAGGCCTTAGCACAATGTCTTACCTACATTTCCTCATTTACCTCATCCCTGCAAGGTATGTGGTGTTATTGTGTATGTTTTGCAAACAAGAGGAGAGCAGAAAACTTAGATTAAGAAAGGTTCACTTGCCCAACGTCCTCCAGCAAGTAAGTGGAGAGAGATTTAAGCTCTGGCCATCTAACCACGGTTCTTATCTGCTCTGCTAGAAAAGCCACTGCCAGCACCTGCCGACATTAGTGTCACCACAAACACAGGACAAAATGTGAACTGCCTTGGTGTAAACCTAGCCAAAATATGCATGGAGTCATATAAAAATAAATCGTTCAGTTTTTTACTGAGGAATATAAGAGACTTAAACAAGAGAAGAGTTATACTGTGTTTCTGAATGAAATGCTTGACCATGTAAAAAGTATTATAAATTCAATCCAGTCTCTTAAAGATCCTGATGAACATTTCTTCTGGAAACATAACCATACAAATAGGACACTTATTATAAAGGGAACAGACCAATTGTGAAATGGGGGGAGGGCGGAGATTTGCAGGGAACCAGCTCCAACTAAAACTGTGCACATCCTGAAACAAATGAAAATTGGTAAACAGAAGATTCAGAAACAGCTTCAAGTATAATTAAACATTTGATATACTGAAAAAAGAAGCATTTCATAGCAGGTAAGTTCTTCACTAAATAGTGTTGGAATACCTAACATGGGCTAACATGGGGGGGACTTTAGAACTCTACCTCATACTTTAGATGAAAATATTAAAATAGTGTAAGCATTAAATAGAAAGAAAAAAAATCCAGAAAAAATATGGTAAATACCATATGACTTCAAGATGAGAATTATCTTGAAAGCATGACATAAGTCAGAAACCATATCTGGAAAGCATAGATTTAATGACATTAAGAACTCAAAATTTCTGTTCTTAAAAGCATGCTAGATAAATTAGAAGGAAAATGACAAACGGGGGACATGTATTTGCAATATATATGAAGAACAAAATTATTATTCTTAATGCACAAAACCATAACTATCTTATTTTAAATATTAACAAAGGATATTATCTATAAACAATCCAGCAAAAGAAGATATTAAAATTACCAATAGAGCATTGAGAAAAATGTTTATTCTTCCTTGTAATCAAAAAAAAAGCAAAGGTAACTATGGTGCTATTTTCACTTTTTTTGATTTTCTTTTCTTATTTTTTGGTAGAAGAACTGGGGTGTAGGCTAGAGGTGTTTGGGGTGGGTGAGAGGAAATGAAAACAATAATCCCCAGTATTGAAGATGTGAGGAAAAGAATTTTCCCTAAATGAACCTACTGGGAGAAGGTAAATTATACAGAGTTTCTAGATAAGAGGAGTAACTGACAATGGATTTTAATCCATTTTTAAGCTGCATACATTTTAAACTAGCATTCCTCTTCTAGATAGTTATGCAAAGTTATCAATTGGAAGTGTGTAAAGATCTAACACAATAATAAATGAAAACTACAATTGAAGGTGTTCTAAACTTTTAGTGATCTGTAGTCACTAAACAGATACTGTAATGAAAAGTAGATTACAACATAGTATGTATAATATGATCACCTTTTTATACTATATACAATATAAATCTATATATCTATATATCTATATATAGAGATTCCTCTTTCTATACATATCATTACCACACAGAAAGGTTTGGAGGAACAAATACCAAAACACTAACTGTAGTAAGAGTGTTAGTAGTTTGTTTTACTTCTTTGTATCTTCTATTTTATAAGCAATGAATATGAATTGGTTTTATAATGATTCATTTAAAAAATCACTCTGTCAGTGTTGTAGACAAATAAGGCTGGTGCCCAGTGCCACTCAGCTTTGTAACCTCCTCTGCTTCGAGGAGCTGAAATTTCAAGATAAGGCCACAAAAGGAAAGCATGTGATTCAGAAACTTCTGTTCTATAGAGATGGACTCTTGGATCTTAGAAACAGGATCTTGCTACCACCCAATTTCCAAGAAATGAAACCTCCTTGCCCAGTTTAAGACTTGTTCAGGGTGACGTAAGTCTAGTGGGTTAATACATGGACTCTTCAGATAAACAAATTCTAAATTCTTAATTATAATAAGTTTTGCTACGAGGTTGTCCTTTTGTCTGCTTCTGCCTCCTCTCCCCTTGATGGATCCTCCTACCTGCTCGTTCCCTGTCTTCACAGCACAAGCGTGCACACAATGTCCCCTCCCCTTGCACAGATCTGTTGGTCCATCCGCGCATTCATCCACCCACCCACCCACCCACCTGTCCATCCGCCTGTCTGTCGGTCCATCCATCCATCCATCCATCCATCCATCCATCCATCCATCCATCTAATGTTGCCTCAGGGTCCCCTTGGAAGCCCTTCACCTTTCACTGAGCAAAAGAGCACTGAAGTGGGAGCCAGAAGAATAGTGGAGGGCAGAATGGAAATGCCTGTACCTCAGGAGAGCCAGGGAAGGTTGAGCATTATCATGCAGATTCTTCCTTGGAGACAGGTCCCTCCAAGTAGAGACATGCTAGAATTCGTGTGAAAGGGCACAGAACTAAATAGAGAAGCAGGAGAAAAGGCAGAGCAGCCTGCTTTCCAGGAGACTTGGGTGGAGCTAGGGGTTCTCTGGGGAAAAGCCGCAGAGGCAGATATTTGGCAAAGAAGCCAAGTTAGAAATAAAAGCGCCAATTAGCCAACAGCAGGGTCATGGCGAAATAGCACGTGCATAATTTATGTCTACTCACTCCCCACGATGCCTGGTGATTGAATTCTAAGTGACACCGAGAAGGCATCTCCACATCCTCTGTGGATATGAACAAAATGGGCTTTTGAAAACACGCCAGGGCCACAAATTCTTGAGGGAAAACAACACATGGAAATTTCTTAAAAGAAAAAAAGGCAATTTGGCATCTATGTGTAGAAAATGGGATTAGATTTAATTAAAGGGGAGGGAACCCCCAACTCCATCTGGTTCTTTCCACAACAGCGGCACTGGGGAGGAATCGCAGAGCAAGAGTTGGGATTATTTCTTGGCATGCATGGATTTCCTCCTTAGGGATCACATCTCAAATCCAAACCAGCCTTTGTTTTGGAAATTATAATCTGGACGCTGTTGGCTACCTCACTGTGCTCTCTGGAGGTGACTCTGTGCTCTCTAGAGGTCGACCAGCTCTCTATGGCTTCTTAGAAAAATGCTAATGTTCTGTTTTTTGCAGTGACAATGAATCCTAAAATTGAATGGTGCTAATGTTTTCCAAGAGAAGCAGCCCTGGAGGGAGGCTGCTGGGTCTGCCAACAGAGGATGAAGAGGATACAAATTTAATTAATTTCAAATCAACATAGACACAAGAACCTTTTGCTGTTTCTTCCAACGCCCACTCTTCCTAACGATGGCGTCACCTGTACCTGGAAGAATGCGTGATTGAGAAGTGCCGGGGAAAGGCCTGGCCCACATCCACTCCTGCCCTGGAGGGAGGGGGAGCCGGCACCTCTGATCGATGATGCTCCCTCCTCCCAGCCAACCTCTTGCTGCCTGCATGTGCTGGCCATGCTAGGTCCTCATTACCTTTCGGCTTCATTCCTTCCGGCTTAAATCAGAAAGCTTATTGATCGTTACCTTCTGGGTCACCTTATTACCTAACTAGCTTTGGATAATGACCTCTGATTATTCAAGCCCGGTGATAGGTGTGTTACAGTCAGTAGGAACTTTTCTCAGAGACAGCTGTGGCATGGAAAAGTCGGCAGACAAAGCTTCTGGTGCACGCCCTCCAGGGGGTGGTAAGCTCACTGAGACTGGCAGGGAAGACACAGTGAACAAGCTGAGGTCCTGAGAAAGTGTTTTTGGATGACATTAGACCCGGAACTGGAGCTGGTGAGATTCTGTCACTCTTGGGAAGCACTTGCAGGAACAGCATCTTCAGTGAAAGAGCCACAGTGTTCCTCCTCAGCTGCAAACGCCCACATTCCCCAAAGCTAGGTTGTGTTCTCCACTCCCCCTTCAGCACCATACATGGATAGGGCCTATGTGTGGAGGGGGTTGCCTGCCCCCTTTCTGAGTCTCTCAGATCTTTAAGGACATTTGAAGTGTGCAGACAAGAACAGGACACATCTGTGCCCGTGGCAGATATCACGGTCATGCTCATTCTTTCCTGCCAAGCTGGGACAAGTCTCATGTTCCCCTCAACGCAGCCCTGGAGCTGCCTGTCAGTCCCTTAGCGAGACCCTCCTACACGACGTCCTCTTGGCAGAAGCAGCAGTAAGAATGCAGGAGGCCTGTTTATCACTCCCGCTCACGTAAAATCAATCTCCATTTAATTCCTAATGTTCTCTGACCTTTAAAGCCATCTAGCAAATTGGGCGTCCTCAGCTCTTCTCTGACACCTGGTATTTTATTCCAGGAAAGAAACAAAGAACAAAAACTTTATTTATTTTACTCCCCACATTTAAACTGAGGGGAGATGAGGTTCACCAAATATTTGCTGCTGAATTTGGGGTCTTGTGTCTGAAAGGCTGTCTGAATTCGTAACAAATATTCCGCCCCTCCCCTGCCAAATCTCTTTAACTAGCACTTGACTTCTGAAATATGCTGATAATTTTAAAGGCCAGGATCCAAGCCAGGAGCCCTTTCCAGAGGCAGGTAGAACTGTTACTCATGCGTAACCACTGCTGTTGGCTGTCTGGGAACGGCATGGGGCTTGGGCAAAAGACATTCTTCATGGTGTATGACCGCAACAGATTGATCTGGCAAATTCTCATTAGCACCTCCTGATAAGACTTTTTTTTTCCACCGCTGTTTTAAATACTCAAAGTCAACTTGTGGTCCACAGTGACTCTCAGAAATTTATACCCAAACTGCCACTTTCTGAATCATCATTTCTGCCTATTTGGCTACTTGTTTGTCCTCAACATTTTGAGTCTCAGAAAACTCTGGGCCTGCTGCTGTCTCTGTAGGTATCTAAAGGTTTTTGTTGAATGCTTAGGGCTGGGAACTTTAGCCAACCCTGTCAAATAATGAACTTTTAAAGTTCAGGAAGTATAAGGCATCATGGAATCTCACCTTGCTGAAGCAATATTTTGTGATATGAGAAAATATACAGGATTTAAATAACTTCAAATGCCAGGAGAAGCAACTGCCATCCACAGCTTGCCTCTATAACCACATGGAGTCTCCCAGCACAAAATGGGTTGAAACAGTCAAGGGTTGGTTCTCCCACCCTGTATTTTTCTTTATTACTATCCAACCAATTGGCATCATATACTTAGAATGATTTTAAAAATTGTTTTTTAATCCAAACTTAATTTTGTTCCAGATTATTGTTAGTAAAACTCTCATTAATTTTCTCTAATTGGGTAATCAAGAGCAGTATCTGACTTTTGAAGATTTTAAAGATAGTTATTTTTATTGCACTTTTATAACTTTTAAGCAAACAAAGTTAACAACATTGCCTCTTCAAACATCTCAGAAAACTTACTTTTATAAATGTGTAAAAGTATCAATTTCTTATTCTTAACTCAATGACATGACTCCTCTGTCTGTGAAGGTCATTATTATCCAGAAGTGGATCAACTTTGAAAACCACCAGGTGACAGGTCCTCCCGCTGAGGCCTCCTGTGGTACTAGGGATGTAAGTGGGTGCTTTAAAAAATGCTTTCATCTCTTATTTTGGTTGTTTAAACCACTGATTTGTGCCACCCCTGATATAAGACCCTTATGTGGAGTAAACATAAAATGTAGACTTTAGTTTTAACTTTTGTCAGACCGGTACACATCTGGAGACATTGGAGTGATAAGACATGGTTTCCTCCTGGGAAGACATTGCTGAATTCTCATCATGGGAAAACAGTGACATTTCAGACTAAATAAAATTGACAGACCACTTTTCCTCATCTCACTTTTTACTCAGAATGAACCTTGGGGTCTCCACTTAATATCTCTAGCAGGCCACAAGAGTAGCTCGTGGACAGACCACATCTCTTCATTGTTGCAACAGCTAGGAGAGTGGCTATATGTTAGTATGGAGTGAAATTAGTCAGATTGGTTATTAATAATTATATTTCCTAAACAACCAATGGGCTGAATTTTTTTTTTTTTTTGAGCAGCTTGTAATTTTTTTTTTTTTTAATTGAAGTGACATTGCAACACGTTACGCAGGTTTCGGGTGGGTGTCACTGAACAGCTTGTTGACATTGCTTCGTGCTGTTTTGTCTGGCACCAAAATTTCATTTTCTTTTTAGTCCTCTTGGGGGTTGTTATTTGTAGATGCCTGGTGGGATTGCATAGTTTTGTTTTTTTGAAATAATGATTTCTAAATAGTGTGTCATGCTCATGAGCTAGCAATCCACACAGTTCATAAAATAAACTTTTTAAAATCAATTCTGAAGTTGCTCTAAGCAATTTTTGAAGTGATATTTTAAGATGTAAAATTCCTAAGCCATGAAGATTTTCATTTCAGTGCTGGAAAAGACTGGAAACATAGAGTGGTCCTGTTTACCAACCGAAGGTGTATGGCAAATTTTTTTTTTTTATGATTAGAGTCCAGGTTCAGCGACTCTGTCACTCGTATACCTCACTTCACATCATATTGTCATCATTGACCTTTGGTACTTTATAAATAAGTAACTGGCTTTTTTACAAAAAGCACATTCTTTGCATCTTTCCCTTCTTTGTTCTGCATGGAGAAGACTACAGGAATGAAATGTGAACATTGCAAAAGTAAACATATTTCCAGTGTAAAGACCCATTGAGAGGGATCACTGTATTACTCTGACTTTGGAAAAAACCCTGAAATGATATATAACTTCAGGAATAGGTGAAAACCCTGCATGTTTAATAAATGCCAGCTTTCAGAAAGCACATGGGTTGTAGTTACTCAGCAAGTTGAAAATAATCCAGTAGATAAGTAGTCATTTCACATACGGACATCTTGATTTTAGCTTAAGTAAAAATAATGTAAAAGAAATACTATCTTCAGCTCTCTCATTCTATAAGCAATGAAAAGGACTTCCAAGGAGGCCAGTGAGATCATCCATGTGATATTTGCCACTTGGCTTTAGTCCCAGCAACATACACGTTCCACCTGTAAGCCTCGTGCGAGAAATGGCCTGCTCAATTGCTTATTCAGCACCACTAGACTGAAATAGATGTTAAGACTTCACTGAAACATAAATCACTATAAAATAGGAGGAAAGAATACCTTCTGCATTTGTTTCTATGTAATTAATGTACGTCAAAATTTGTTTACTAAAATGTGTTAATTAAGTTAAAGGGGTGATGAATGCATCTTTCTAAAGGAACATTCTTTGAACTTCTGTGACTATGAAAAAGAATTGCTATCTTCATAGGTGTACTCTTTTGACTACATACCTCTGTAAAATCATCAATTGACAAGTTTTTTAGCCTTAAACCTGTATTACATGAAATTATCCAGACTAAAAATTAATTGGATTTTCCCTCTAACGGAGGTTATTACACATTCTTATCATTTTCCTTCTCTACAAAATATTTTTATTTTTTTCAACCTTCTTTCCATACATTATTTTTAAATGGAATGAAATGTTAAATGTCTATGGAGTGTAATTTTAAAACATTTTGAATAAAAATGGAAAAGTCTTAAGGTAAATGTTTATCTTTTTGCTGACTACTCACATTTCTTCTTTAATGCTAATGTCATGTTCCACACCTTGACATAAAAGTGAGAACAAAGCTGGAGGGCAGACTCATAACAGGTAGGTGAAATGAAAAAGGATGCATTTTTGCAGGTCACAGAAACTCATCAGCCAGCAACAAACCACAAGCAGAAAAATTCCTCTTCAAGATTCCAACCAAAGTAAAGGCTGGTTGATGACAGCATCACCATCCCTAGAGTCTGTTGCAGTGAGTTTCCTTCTATTTTAACCAGAATGACTAAATGACTGAAATGATGTGACACATCAGCCTGCAGATGGCTTGGACCCAAAGAACAGAACAGTCACAAAGAACAGTCCCACAGAGTCAGGAAAATGATACTAAGGGGGAACAATAACAATCTTGCCCAGCATTTAATATATGTATCAGTCAGAGATTAAGTTCTACCTCTAATACTAGAGACACACAATGGTCATCTGGAAGCTCCCCCACCTCCATCCTCAAGGTTGCCCTTGACCCAAGATGGCTGCCCTAGTTTCAGAATGATATTCACAAGGAGACAGAGGAAACCAGCACGGGGTGAGTCTCCCTGTAGGTCCACCATCTAAAAGAGCCTTCCTGTCAACCCAATGAAACAACCCTGCCTGCATCTCATCGGCCAAACTATTTGCAAGATTGCAGAGAATCTTAGGTCTCTGTAGACCATCACACCTAGCAGCCAGGATTCTTCTTCACAAAGTGGCAGAAGAATGGATTTTGAACTGGATTTCGAATGAGGTAGCTATCCTGGCTGTAAGATGCTAAACACTTAGCATGTGTCATCTAATTTTAATCATTTTAAGCCTCACAGTATACCCTTGAGTTAGGTTTAGAGTACTGATAAGCTTGTCCCATGTCTCCCCAACCCTGAAGCACATGCTTTAAACCACTGCACGACACTGCCTCCCCAGTAATGAGGAGCAGGAAGCTGTGCAAAGTCATTGTCAATGTCAGAGGCCTGCAGTGGGCAAAGCCTGAAATGCTCAGTAACAGAAGCTGCAGAAGGGCAGTGAAAGCAGGGCCCTGGGGTGAGCGAAAATGGCATATCATGTTGAGGCTTAGAATTGAGGTGATAAGGGGGGAAACCTAGATTATGGATCAAGGGTTTGGCCACTGGGTGAAAAATACCAAGTTCCTTCTTGCTGAAGCTGAAGTCGATGGATCAGCAGTTGCACTCCTGAAGACAGCTATGGAGAGGCCTGCCCAGAGGCTCTCAACAACTGGTGTTTAGTGCTAGAAGTTGAAAGAATTTAAAGCAGCCTGAAAGAACAGCTCTCCCACAGCCATACATCATCATTCTGGCTTTCAGAGTAGCCAAGCCCAGCGTGTAGATAGGACGTGTGTGGAACAGGAAAAGCAGCATTGTTTGGGATTCACTCAAGCTCAAGAGCCCCACTTCTGCATGCCTCTAGCATTCATGCTTCCCAAGAGAGAAAATCCAACTGGGTTGGTATTGAGGCTCCCTACTGCTGCCTAATAACCACCTTGAAATTGGGTAGGATAAGAGAGCAATAATCATGTATTTTGCTCATGAATCTGCAGTGTGGGTAGGGCTCAGTGGGAATGACTCGTCTCTATCCCATCAGATAGGCAGCTCAGTTGGAGCTGGGCATCCACTTCCAGAATGCTCGCTCACGTGGCTGCCTAGCAAGTTGGGTCAGAGCCCAGCCAGGTCTGGAGGCCTTGGTTCTGACTACCTGGGCCTCTCCATAGACTTCTTCCTCCCAGAACTCAGTAGCTGGGTGCCAAGAATAAGTGTCCCAGGAGAACAAAGTGGAATTGCATGGTATTTTTTATAAATTAGACTCAGAAGTCACAGGCCATCATTCTGTCACACTCTGTTGTTCGAGTCACAAAGTTCAAGGGGGAGAGGACATAAATTACCGTTCCATGGGTCTGTCCATGAATATCAAGGTCACATTGTGAGAAGAGCAAGTAGGATAGGAGATTCATTACAGACAATCTTGGAAAATACGGTGTCAAAACTGGTGTGGCCCCATGCAATAGGGAGGAGACCACTTCATGAAATGTCCTCAGGAATACTGACCTCCCTTGACCCCAGGGCCTGTGTGGCTATTCTTGGCTTGGACTTAGATCCCTGGTCCAATAGGTTTTGGTAGGTGGCAGAACCGGTTTCACCCACTACATGAGGCATGAACCATGACACAGAACAGGTTGTGGGTAGATTAGACACAGAAATTTTAACTTCTCTCAGCACACAAGGTTAAAATGAGACAGATTAGATTGTGAACACCTTGAGGATAGGAATTACGTCTTTGGCATCTCTTTATCCTGCTCGACTCTAGTAGATGCTCAATAATTGTGGAAAAACCAATGACCTACTGAAATAAGAGTCCCTGGATCATGCTTGTTTGGGTCATTAATAAGTTTTATCACCAGTGAGAGCAGGACCTAAATATATAATTGTTCATTTTTCTTCACTATTTTCTCCTCAAGCTTGCTGGTTCGATGGTGTTTTCATTACCTTTCATTTACAGGGTCCTGATATCAACATTAATTTTTATTTTTTTTAAAGATTTATTTTTTATTTATATAGTAGCTGGGGTACAGGCCAGAGGTGTGTGAGGGTGAGAGGATTCACCAGAGACAGAGTGGGGAGCAAAATAGGCAGACGGGCCAAAGACACTGCTGAGGGTAGTTGTGGGCAAGGCAGGAGAGGTCTGCTGCACCATGTGGGAATCTCCCTTGCTGGCTGGGAATCGAACCTACGTTGCAGAGGCTGCGGGCAGCTTCACAGCACTGCGCTCAACCCGCTGCGCCACCAGGGAGGCCCCTGTTAATTTTCATTTTAAATTATTTTATGATATGTATGTTTTCTTTTGAAATACCTCAAGTCCAACCTGGACGGAGGCAGAAAACAACCATAACTGAACTAACAAGCAAATGGAGGTGGAGGAGCTAAACTGGCTCCAATTACCAGGGTAGGAGCCCAAGAGATCCTTCAAATCCTCTCGGCAGTTCTTTCTGCCTCCACTCTGGCTTCTCTACTTCACCCTCTGGAGGGTGCATGGAGAAAAGAAACACAAGTTTTACTAATAAAAAGAAGAAATAATCTATCCTAGGTAATAATACAAATCTAAGATTTGGATCATTTCTGCTCTGGGAAGGAAGACAGATTAACAAAATAAGAGGTGGTGTGAATTCCATTTGAGATGTTCCCCAGAGCTGAATGTGGGTGACTCAAGCCAGTTGATGAGGAAATTTAGTTAAACAGGAGACCCACTTATTTCTCACCCCCAGTAATCTGCACAGAAATTCCTCCTTCTTGTTGCCAGTGACAACCGATTACTTTTCACCACGCTTGACTGTGCCTTTATGTTTACAAACCACCCCAGTTATATTCCTGAAGGAGCCATCCTACCTCCTTGCTCATACTGTCCAGACCTCTGCCTTCAGGATCTGGGTAGATACATCTGGGGGAAATCAGTCAAATGAATTCAGGTCAAGATTGTGTTGTGGCACGCATGCAAGAAAAACATGGTGGGTTGGGCCTGGGGAAAATGTGAGAACAAGTTCTTAGGAGTTCTCTGGTTACACAGGAGAAATCAAGTATAGCTGTGAAGACCAGAAGGGCAAGAGAAGCATCAGGATTTGGGACGGACTCAAGTTAGAGGCAGGAGTTAGACAGGAGGAAACCAGAAAGTTTTGGGGTGAGGAGGGCTTGGGTGATTTCTACATGGAGCTGAGCCACCCAAGGGTGGCTTTTCTTGGCCACTGGATGGAGACGTCTGGAGCAGTGGCCACCTTGGCCTATTGATGCAAGGATAGAAAGGCCACTCAATAACCAACACCTGCTCTTGGTCAGAGTTGCTCAGCCTCCTTGGTAAGTTGGGAAACCCAGGTCCAGAGAGACAGTGGGAACAGCAGACCCCAGGCTGGGCTTCTGCACCCATAGCATTGGGGCTATCTAACCTGACTCCCTCAGAGCTGTGGGGGTGAGGGGAGCCAACCGGGTCACCTGTGGGAGGCGGCAGGCCACATCTCTGGCCAGAGCAGGTGGCGTGAGGCATGGACAGGGCAAGGTCCATCACCTGCCTTTGAATAAATTTTTAAAATTATCCTAAATAAACACACTTCTCTTAATTTTGTCATCGTCAGTATAACATTAGTGTATTTGTTAAAATAAGACTCCTGGTTCCAAAGAGAAAGTGTCCTACTTAGACTAGTCCCGGCCAAAAAGTAAACTGATGGACTCAGGTAACCAAACTGAGCCAGGGCAGAACCAGTATGGCTACAAGGAGGGACAGCCAGACCTGGGACTCTACCCCAATGAGAATTCTTCAGTTTTTGTCTTTCCTCATTCTCTGAGACAACTCTCTCCACGGCTCTATAACCGGCTGTTGCAGCCGGTTGCTCCAGGGAGCTGAGCTTTCTGCCTTTCCACTCTCTTTCCCTGCATCAAATCAGGAGGAATTTGAATAGACTGTGTGGGTTTTGTGCAGGATCCTATGAAAATGGGTCTTGGGACTGACTGGGTTGATGTTTTACCTCCACAGGCCAGAGGTTGAAGTGTGTGTGTGTGTTACATTCACTGGGTGGTGTGTTGGGTGAGTGGGTGGTTGTGTGAATGAGGGTGCAGGGCAACAGTTATAAAGGAAACCATGGCGGAGGTGGGGCATTCTGGATAGCTGAGTTCACAAACATCCACCATCACCTGTGACATTGTATCCTTTTCCCCATTCCATTCACTCTTCCATATCCAGAGAGTCAGGACTCCAGAGCGAGCCGGGTTCTCAGGACTATAGACCATCACTGATGTTCTTCAATTCCTTCATGTGCGTTTTTGTTCTGCAGTAAATATGTATAACCTTTGAAAGATGTTTAAAAAAATAGAGTGGGTAAATTTTCATTCACCAAGGCAGAAATACTGAGAACCCAAACAGAAAAATCCTAATTTAAATCCAATATTCTCCTAGAATAAATG